TATATATATACTGTATGTATATGTATATTAGAAATGAGTCCCTCAGTTAATCATTTTATTCAATCCATTAGAACAAGTCAGTTGTGAACCTGATGTTTGCAGCGTACAGCGGAGACGTCTCTGCCCTGAGGAGGTACGTAGAAACAAAACCACCTTCACCAGAAAACTGAAATTATAAATTTCACGTTTTGGTACATAGATACTTAACTTTGTATTGTTCATGTGATTCTACAGACAGTGAATTTTTATAAAGACAGATAAGGAATTATTGAATGAAAAGTTTATCAGCATTAGTAAAGCTTCATAATTATGTCACTAGTTTAATAAGTAAATATGTGTTAGGAGTCTATATATCTACCATCCATCCATCCATCCATCCATCCATCCATCCATCCAAGTTGAGTCAAGACTCAGGACATTACTTTATTTAAGAAACAAAAGGGAAACTTAAATATCTGAATATTCCAGCAAGTAATCTTTGGATATGTCCAGAACATGGCCACCATCTTGAAAGCCTCCGTATTGGATCTTATTGTTTTTTCCAATGGGAAGTGGGTCATGTAGCATATCAAAGAAGACCAGAGTTGTCTCAGAAATGGATGGATACAGTCAGATTTACAATATCTTCTGCTGCAATAAAGTTAGTAACAAAGAAATTTGCAACAGCAAGAGGGAATGTTGCTGTGATGCACAGCTTATTTGACATGTTCAGTGTGCTGTCCCTGGTGCTGAACATAGAGCTTATCTGTGACGAACAACAAAAGTTTTGAACTTTGTGTTCCTAACTTCTGAACTACAAGAGATATCACACACCTAACTGCCCCGATCCATTTCTGAGACAATGCTGGTCTTGTTTGATATGCTGCATGAACCCCCTCCCATTTGAAAGTTTGGACTTTGATCCAGTATGGAGGCTTTTAAGATGGTGGCCATGTTCTGGACATAGCCTAAAAGATAGATCCCCTCACCCATTACTGTCTGGAGTATTCAGATATTATTTTTACCTTTTGTCTCTGAAATAAAAGGGTGTCCTGAGACTTTTGACTCACCCTGTAGTCAAAAAATAAATAATAGTTATCACACTTCACTAAACAACACTAAAAGTACTACAGATAAACAGAACCATGTTTTCTTCTTTCTTTAACAGCAACACTGTTATCAGTTCTCTTAACTCACTTCAGTACAGCCACATATTTGTATTTATAGTTACGGATAATTACTATAGTACTGTACAGTATACTGTACCGTCCTTTTTGTCCAGTCCAGCTTTTTGTTAGAGGTATTGATGCTGCTCATCTCTACATAGAACAGCCTGTGATATCATCTTTCAGTCACCTCAGGTTCAGTAAATGTCTGCATGTGTTCCTCCTCCGTCTGCAGGTTTGCCCTTTCAGCCGTGGACATGGACCAGAGGGACTACGACTCTCGCACGGCACTCCACATCGCTGCTGCAGAAGGTGACACTCTTCACCGCTGTCGTCTTTGGCATTTATAAGAGTTGATAAAAGACAGCACTTGTGTTACGACAATATAGATTTCTGCTTTTTGTGCTTTGATATTAGTAACAAAGTTTCTCTGCAGGTCATGAGGAAGTTGTAAGGTTTCTAATTGAAATCTGTAAAGTGAATCCTCACGTTAAAGACAGGTAGGAATTCAGGTATAAACCTGTTCTGATTCTGACTCGTTCCGACTCGAACAGCCGATCCATCTCCTTATTCTGTCATCTGATCAGATGGGGCAACACACCTCTGGATGACGCCATGCAGTTCAGCCATAACGCTGTGGTTTCAGTCCTGCAGAAATACCAGAGCGTGTTCAACGATAGCCAATCAGCCGGCGGCACAGATGAGCAGAAGACCGCACTGGACTTGATGAAGGAAACTCTTTAAACCTCGTGTCATCAGGAGGGTTTGTTCTGCAAACCTTTCTCTGAAAGGACACTAAACAACTGAGAAAACCTTTGAATTATTTTTTTATGAAAGTTGTCACTTTTTTCCTGTGCTTAAGAGCATAAATTTAGGTGTCTGAAGTCACTAACTATTCTAAAATTTGCCTCCAAAACAATCCGATCTTTTAGCTCCACATACTTTATGGTTTACGTCTTCACTGAGAAACCTAATGACTGAAAACTTTGATTCTTTTTTACTTGTCATTAAATACAAAGTTATAGAAAAGCTATTAGCAAGATAAACGGTTTCGTTTAAAATGACCCTGGTTAAAAATTGAGCTGAGAACTTGCCATGACTGTGATGGATGGCTGCAGTTTACTGATCCGCAGGTATTTATGATGAACACCTGAGTCAGTTTCACAGACTGGACTTTCAAGGCTGAACTGCTCACAGCTAAAACACGGACCCTCAAACTGTAGAGAATTTAAAGGTTTTTGAGGATAAATGGTGCTAATTTATCGAAGGCACAGATTTGATCTGTCTGACAGAAAAGCTGCAGATTTTCTTTCAGGGATTGTTTTGTATAATTTGTGTATTTTGGGGCTACAGGATGATGTCATTTCGCAGGAGGGGAGGTCTGCGGTTCAAGCATTCAGGAGAGGCAGGAGGTGGGGGAAAGTGTCTTACTTGGTCTCAGTTAGGGGAAAAAGGGTTAAAATATTTTATATATGTGATTTATGTCTGTAAAGTTTATTTAGACCAAAGCCTGTTTTTAGATATCAAATTGTAAAATGTATGTCGTTTTCAAATGTAATAAAATGTATAATTATTTTAAATGCTAAGTGCAGCTTTGGATACACCAAAGACTTAGTCAATAAATGTAGAAAGGCAATACAATAGGCAAAATGTTATAATTAATAGTAACCACCATGATTTGCCTTGTGTGGAAATATAAAAACTGTCTTTGATAGATCATTTCAATTAGGATGTAAATATCTAAAATTTATACTTAGCACAAAAAGTAAGAACATTTTGTTGTAACAATGCTTCTTGGCAATAAATCCTATGATTGGCAGGTACCAGAAGCTCAAAACAAGTGTCAATAGCAACAGCAAAATAAGTTGTTTGGCTTATATATATATATATATATATGAGGATAAAACCTGTAACTGTTTGGGCCAAAGTGAATTATCCCTTTATTGAACATAAAAGACAAATTCTTACTTTTTCTTTAATACTAATCCAAATATGGAATACATTATAAAAAATGCTTTTTGAAGTATTCAAACTTGTCCTCACACAATCTTTGAAGCACAAATTAATTTAAATCTACTAAAAACAGAAATTAAAACATTTAAAAATCCTGTAACAGGATGGAAAGTTTTTTTTTCATGCTGGTAAAATTTTCCCAGCTCATTTACTTTTACGGAGACCCTGAACCTGAAGGGTCACCGGGGGATTTTTTTCTTTTGCCTTGTCAAGGTCATAGTAGTTTTGTACTAACTGTATATAATAAAACTTTTATTTTGAAATATCTGGTTATAGAAACAGGATGTTAGGGAGATTGACTAAGATATTGTGTGGCTGCATACTAGATTAAGTATCTTTATTATATACAGTACATAAATAACTTAAAGCACAGCTGTGATATGCTTATGCCAAAGCTGAATTAAAGTAACTCTTGTATAAAGACGAACGTGAATTTATTAATAAACTGGCAGGAGGCACAACAGTAATAAACAACTTTTGCAGTTAATGCAAAAATAAACAAATAAATAAATAAAATCCTCTGAAGTCTCTTTCTAAACTTACATTGCCAAACTGTTTTTGTTTTGTGAAACAAATATTAAAAAAACAAGGAAACCAGATTCATAACCTACATGTAAATAATGGCAAACATTAAAGGTGCTGCCTCAATATGATCTTTTTACCAGCAGAGGTTTTAAGAACCTGCAAAATCTTAATATTCAAAGGGACATTTTGATCAGCATTTCTAAAAGTTAGTGACAACTAATTACTAATGAAAATTACCTGCATTTTATCAAATCTGCACAGTTTCTGTACAAAGCTTTGTTCACTGTAAATAGCATTTTGCTTTGAAAAAAATGTTGAAACTATTTAACTGAATGTATTTTATTAAACAATACATGAAGAATATGACATTGACAGATGTTTTGTGCTGATTTGAGCTTAAAGTTAGAAATGCCACAACGTTCAGTGTAAAAAGACCCTGGCAGGTCCAACCACACACACAGTTAGTCTGAGGTAAAACATGCAGCTCAAACAACAAACAGTCTTTGTTACAAAAAGACAAGATCAGATGTCTTTGAGGTTTGATCTCCTGCTCAGAATGATTTGGCATCATGATGATTAAAGAGCACAGAGGGAAACCATCAGCTTCATGAAGCTTTAAATGATTTCCTTTGAAGATATTGCTTTTTTTTTCCTGAACAGTTCTTTGATCACAATTCCTGATAAGAGCCATCAAAGATTACAAACCCAGTCCAGTGACCCCGTAAGACCAAAACACATGATCTCTGTTGATCCTGATCACTTCAGGCCCTCAGGTTCCTCCAGACCAGAGTGTGTGAGCAGCTCCCCGTCCCACAGTCCAAACGCAGGGCAGAGGGAAGAACTGAACTGAGCTCTGAGCGAGTGAATGATCCGGGGCTTCTCAATGTCCACCAGAGCCAGGAGGCCCGCTTCGTAGTCGAGCAGGATCCCCACTCGGTCTGGCTTTCCCACCAGGGTAACTGGAACCATCTTGCCGTTGGTCATGGCGAACCACTTCCTCTGAGCGTAGCCGAACACCCAGGACGAGCTGTTGGTGCCGACGCACTCGTCTCTGGACATCAACGCCTCCGCCACCCCCACGCGGAACTCGTGGGACTTCTTGACCGTGACCTCCCAGTAGTGTCGCCCGCCGTCGAGCCTCGTGTCGCCCAGCACCACGGCCCACTCCTTGAAGCGCTCGGGGTTGTCCTGGACCTGGGTGGGGTCTAGGCCCAGAATGCGGTAGATGATGCCGGTGTCTTTCTTGAAGAGGTCCAGGCTGCTGTGAGCCGTGCGCTCGTCCAGTCTGAACTCCACGCCTACAAAGAAACACAAACAGAACTTTTGTCTTTTAGTAAATATTTTAAATGTTTGTCCAGAGTCTGTATGCATCAGCCACCACTGAAGCCAAGAAAGCTTTTTGTCTGTTGTTCTTTTGTTGGTTGGGACCGTAAGCAAAGCATCTCATGATGGGATTGTACAGAAACGGTCTATGGCATAATAATTTTATCCACCTCTACCACTGATTAATTTTTTAACTCTAGCCAATTAAAGATGGCGGCCACAGCCAACTGACATTAGAAAACACAAAAAGGACTCAAATCCAATCAGTTTTACAGACCTTGTGCTAAAATTTGCTGTGGTTGCAGCTGAGAGTCAACTGCTCCCAACCTGGGGGACCAGAGTGAACAGTGGGGACCCAAAGCCTTGTCTGCTTTAAGGTTGTGAAAAAAAAAATCAATTTATTGTTTTTAAATCACCAAGATAAGTCCACTTGAATAATTAAAATTCTGTATCACTGATTTTTTTTCCCTTTTCTAAATAAACATTTGTAATTATTCATTTGATTCTTTTACTATTTTGATTAAGAGATAAATGTTGAACACCTCTTTAACCAGTGCTGAATAAAGTACCACAAAGTGATACTTGAGTAAAAGCACAAGTATCTTACCAAAAAATTACTTTGGTAAAAGTTAAAGTCTTCTTTAAGAATATTATTTGAGTAAAAGCCTTAAAGTATCTGATGTTTTTGTACTTAAGTATTAATAGTCAAAGTATTGCTATAAAATGAGCCGTTAGATTTTCTGTAACGATGTTTATTAGGAGGTGACCTCCCCAAAAAATGTAGAAATAATTGTCATTTTAAAATTAATTTATGTTGAATTTAGGATGCGCTAGTCTGTTTCAGTTTATATACATATATCAAGGCTGCTCAAAAAACTTTTCCCAAAATGAAAATCTATTTGAGGGCGGCAGCCAAATACAGTAATATAATTCATGAAATACAAATACTTTTAAGTACAGTCTTTTTATTTTAATGATTATGTCCTGCTGGAGTGTGAAATGATTTGTTTGTGTACAAACTAATACAGTACCAGAGTTTTATATATTTATACTTCAACAACAATTAAATTCACTCTGTCTAGGAGGCACAATTTACATGGATAGTTTTTATTTATTACAATAACAATCTGGAATGAAAACAAGCAAAGATGAAATAAAAGTAACGACTTTCCTCTTTTGCCTTTTTTAAAAATGTAAGGAGTAAAAAGTACAGATAACTGTGTGAAAAGGTAAGAAGTAGAAGTAAAAAGTAGGCTGAAAAATAATTACTCAAGTACAGATACCCAAAAGTTCTACTTAAGTACAGTGTATGGTCATCTAGGGGTGGAATAAACAGTTCCACCTGTCTTTGAGGTGACCACTACAACAGTAAAGAAGTATTTGTACTTAATTACTTTACAACTCTGTCTTTAAGAGAAGTGGGGAGTGGCGAGGCACTGGAGGGGGCTCAGCTTGGCTTAGAAGAAAGGAAAGCTTTGAGTAAAAGAGGTTGAGAACCACTGATCTACAACACAAACTCCTGGTGCTTAGAGCAAGATATTTGCTTTAGGGACACATATGCTTTAAACTCTTCTTTTTCACATTTAAATAAATCAGTTGGGGTCCTTATAAAGTGGAACTGCAATGATATGGTCTGAATTCCTCCTTAAGCCCCTCTTTCAGCCCTTTTCTGAGGTGTCTCTGATCGACTCGTTTTGATGCTGTCTCTTTAAATCCAAACAAGACGCTTCACACCCACAGCTAATTAAGAGTAGCAAACACAAAAATGTTTAGAACTCATTTAGTTTTACTGTTATTGAGGTAAAATTTGATGTGGTAGTAGATGAGTCATCCCCATCACATTCTGAGTGTCATCTTTGTGCACAATGTTACCAAAATAACACTTTTGATCGTTCTCAACCACAGACGATCTCAGTCTAAAACACTGGCATTAAAGATGGCAGCATGCATCTCTTTGAGGAATTTAGTGATTTGTTTGTAAAGCCCTTTGAATCAAGGTTTACCAGAATATTTGTCTTTCGCAACATTCCATAGGGGGAAAAAAAGCTGTTGTTTTAAGTACTGATATGTGAGGTATTCCTGTTACAACATGTTGTGTGGGATAAACGTTTAGATCCAGACACGAGAAACATGAGCCTTCAGATGATAACACTGATAGACTGATGTTTTCAGACTGCTGCTGTTTATGCTTTAGTTAAAAAAGGGAGAAAATATGTGACAATTTTTCATCCAGTAGAAAACGCTGTCATTTCTTATTCAGCTTGTTTCAGTAAAAATGTAAATCTTGTTTGCTTTTGTATATGTTATGATTTTTGGTTTTTGCTTAAAATGAAAACGTGCATACATGCATCCAATATCGGACAGTGTTCACTTCACTTCGTCTGTGATTTCGGACATAAAAGTTTGCATTGTGTTATTGCAGTGAACCATAGATGGATAAACTCATATTTCAGCTCAAAAATCCATTAAAACGCTAATTAATTGTTTATCCATAAAAAAAATCATTTCAAAACAGTTTGCTTGTTAGTGCCAGCTGAAATTCAATTTGTTTATTCTTTGTTTCTAAGAAGGACAGACTGTAAAAAAAAATAAATAAATAAATAAATTAATCCCAGTAAAAATAAATCTGTCATCAGCTGTCCGGCTCAGCCGCCTCACAGCGCTTTAACCACAGACTGACCTCTGAGGTGCGGAATTCAAAGCTAACATTTTTTTATTATCTTTTATAAAACTCACGGTTCCTGGTCGAGGAGGAGATGAAGCACGGCCTGGCTGGCAGGCTGACAGCCCGCCTGTGTCTCGCTGACAGGGAGGACAGAGTCCGTCCTGCCAGGCGACAGAAACGAGCAACACTGACGGGCATCGCCATGTTGACTGAAGCTGCTCACGTGTCGCTGCTTCTGCATGAGAAGAAGCTTCTCCGCGCTCTGCTGCCCCCCGAAGGCCGGGAGGAGAACCACACCACCCACCGTGCACCATGGACAGTTACAGCTGAAAAACTCCTTGGTAAGCACAGCAATTAAAAATAAAACTACACAATTCGTGTTTAAGGTCCGAAATCAAAAACTTCCACACAATATACAGGAAATGTTTGGTGACAGAGAGGGGGGTTATAATTTAAGAGGTGAAGGACATTTTAAAAAACAACATATTAGAACAACCAGGAAGAGTTTTTGTTTATCAGTGTGTGGAGTAAATGTCTGGAATGGATTGAATGATGAGTTAAAAAAAATTACAAATGTAAAACAATTAAAAAAACTCATTAAAGCAGAGCGCATTTCAAAATATGCTATATAAGATGTTTAATGTTCAATAGTCTATAATGTAATTGATGATATAAATAGTACTCAAAATAATTCTACATAGTTAAACATGATGTAAAATGGAAACAAGTTGTCTCTTTTTGATGTTCTGAAAGTTAATTGATAATACATTGACAAGTAGGAAATGGGCAGGACATTATAAGATGTRTCTTCTACCTGCTCCTTTTCCAACAGAAAATATAAAATTTTGCATGACACACGGGCAAAATAATTTGTATTACATTTTATTTCTTAAGTTTGTTTCATTCTATTTTCTTTTCTTTTTGATTGTTTTAATGTCTGTTCGAAATAAATAAATTAAATAAATAAATAAATAAATGAATAAAACTAAATACAATGCAAAAAATGTATGAAACCGTGCACAGAGACGAATGTGTTTACAAAAACCACTTGCTCAACATTTAGAATTTGATAAAATAATACAAAAGTTGATGAGTAACTGTTAATCTTTCAAATAAACAGCTTTTAAAATTAAAAATAGCTTGTTTTTTCTTGATCTCTATGAGTATACTTTACAACAAGTATCAAACTCAGTTACAGAACGAAGCAAATATTCAAAACTTGGTTCAAGTCAATGGATAATTTCTGTCAATATTTACAGAAAAACAATTGACCTTTTCCAAATTATTTTAACAGCATTAGAACATACATAACCTAACGGATAAAGAAAAAAATTCTGAAGAAAGACACATCATTTGCATTAATTTCGTATGACTAACTCTCTAACAACTTTTTCATTCATCATATCTCAGAGATACATTTTATCACAATCCAGCAAATCATGTACAAAAAAGAAAAATGAAGATCCACATTAAAAATCCAGTTATTTGAAAAAAATATGGAGAGAATACAAAAAATATAAAGTTGATCCCGTGTTGCTCTTTCCACACTAAAATCAAACTTTACTGAAAAAATCAAAAAAATTTCTTGTCATGAGATGAATTAACTGTGTCAAAAAAACTATTTCACATTCAAAGTATTACCTTTGGCATCAGATAAAATGATAAGGGCCAGGTTTGGCCTGCGGGCCTTGTGTTTGACACATGTCCTTTACAGTCTAAACACTTTACATGTTGAGAAAGAAAGATATTCTTTGTTTTTAGACAGAAAGTGTAATATTCAGGTCCAACTATCATTTTGATGATGAATGTCCTCTCTGATTCAAGTTGAGTTTGATCATTTTACAACACAAAAAAGGACAAAATATAGTTTATCTCCAAATTACTGAGCTTTGGCTTATTTTTAGCTTTGATCGTGTTCAACCATAAATAATACAAAAAAGCAACAAACAAAAAGGGTAAAGAAATACACGGGACATTTTGCAAATTTTGTAGCAAGCAGGAGACAATGTTTTATTTCCAAATTTCAGAAACAACAATTATAAATATATAGTTTTATATTTTATAGCAAAGGAAATTACCAAATAAACATTTTAAAAATACAGTAAAAATGTTTTTTTCTTTTTTACACCAAATTTAGCAATTACTTTAATAAACTTGCCTCAGATAATATATGGCTCTTTCATCCTTAAAAGAAAAGCAATTATTCACACAACTGCTCAATGAGCTACTTGCTGTAATTGTAATGTTGAAGCTGTCCTTTTCACAATAGGATACTTAATGGAACAGTATAATTTGATGCATTGTGCATGGAAAATGGAAAAAAAAGCCTTTTAAACCTGAATCAGAGAGAGAGAGAGAGAGAGAGAGAGAGAGAGAGAGAGAGAGAGAGAGAGAGAGAGAGAGAGAGAGAGAGAGAGAGAGAGAGAGAGAGA